GTGCCATTGGCTTTTTTGATGGCTTCGTCACACTGCCGACTCATGTTCATCTTGGAGTCCACTAGGACTCCAAGGTCCCTTTCCACTTCCGTGCCACCCAGCAGGTCATTTCCTAGGCTGTAGGTGTGCTGGACATTTTTCCTCCCTAGGTGCAGCACTTTGCATTTCTCCTTGTTGAACTGCATTCTGTTGTTTTCTGCCCACTTGTCCAACCTGTCCAGGTCTGCTTGCAGCTGTTCCCTGCCCTCCGGCGTGTCCACTTCTCCCCACAGTTTTGTGTCATCCGCAAACTTGGACAGAGTACACTTCACTCCCTCGTCCAAGTCGCTGATGAAGACATTGAAGAGTATCGGTCCAAGGACCGAACCCTGTGGGACCCCACTGCCCACACCCTTCCAGGTCGATAGCGACCCATCCACCACGACTCTCTGGGTGCGACCCTCCAGCCAATTCGCCACCCACCGGACTGTGCAGTCTACCCTCCAGGCACATTTGCTAGATACTAGGGACACACCAGGGTAAACCCAGTTAACAGCATATATCCCTATGTACAGAGTAACCCACTTATGCAGAATCCCACCCGCTTCCTCTGCCTCCAAGGTCATGATCTTTTTCATTTCCTTCTGTCCTTTGATTGAAGTTCCTGCTTCTGCTGTCCTGGGCCTGAGCCCACATTCATCTAGGATTATCTTAATCCATCAGATCTAGGATTAAATGCTCACTTCTTTCCTCCCAGCACCAAAACACCCAAGATAGTCATGGATCCAGGACTGCACCCTTCTAACAATTCCCGCTGGAGTCAATGTCTCGAGCACCAGTGCCTTCCCGGTGAACCCTAACCTTGGCCTTCTCCTTCCCTCTTCTCTTTGCACCAGCATCGCTTGCCACATGTGGGTTTGTCGTGGCAGGGTTTGCTCCAAAGGGAAAGCCAGATGGCTGACAGCAGCAGCCATCGCAAAGTCACCTGAAGTGACAAGTGATCCGGTTGCCTGTGCAATCCCTCCGGCCTGTGATGGTATAAAAGGGCTTGATTTTTGGAGGGATGAAGCTTGGAACACACTGAACATTAGGACCTAATGTCCAAATTCACTGTTGAAAATCTCAGCCGGGGACTTTGCCAACCACATAAAACCGAAGCCAGCAGGTCAGCTTCTGGGCCCTGCTGGTGGTGACAGACCTGGCTTGGCTGAGATGGACAAAAAGCAGCACCTCCCCTCCAAGGATCTCAAGGCACGATGAAAACATGAATGAATGTGGCCCCGAAGCCTTGGCCTGGGATGAAAACCAGCCTCTTCCCACAGGTAAGCACGCCAAGGCAGGGCTGGAAAGCAGGTCTCTGCTCCTTGTCCATCATCAACATCACCACAGCAAGCATCCCTTGTGTCCTGCAGCTCTGGGGGCATGTCGTGACAACCACCTAAGTCCATCTCGAAGGAGGTGAGGACTCAAGATATTGGGGGGGGAAGAGTCTGGAAAAGGAGCCGCAATAGAAGTGCCTGGATGGGACGAGTGTACCAACAGGTGTGCCAAGCCCCCACGCCTGCCCTGGACTGAAAGGCATGAGGACCATTAAACCAGACTGCCTCCTTGCCCCTCTTTTGAATTGGAGTAAGGGTCTGTCCCTGGCAGGCTTGTTACAGCGACAGCTGCCAGTCCCTGGAGCATCACCAGCCAAGTCGGTCTTTGCCACACGGGATCTCCATCCAGACGTCACCTGGAGCAACCGGCTCTTCCCCCAGCAGGAAGGGGAGAGGATCTGGTGTCTTTATGCATGCAGGGAGACAGAACAAGATGACTCCTGGGCTGGGACCCAGGGCTGGGAATGGCTGGCTGCTGGATCACAGCTGGTCTTGGCAATGAAGATTGCCTTCATTGCCGACAATGGTCTGCTACTTGCAAAGCCCTGAATGACTCCCAAAATGACTGGTGACATCAGGCACTTGTTTCTGGATGCAGACACAGAAGCAAATTCCCCAACTCAGCCCGTGGGAGTGCATGCGCGCATGGGCAGAGGGCTCCAGGGTAGCATCTGCACTGGATGCCTCCACGGTTGCAATGCTAACCTCAGGCAGGCTCCATCAGCAGAGCCCCTGGGGCTTTACAGAGCAGGTGGGGATCATTCCCCTTATTCGCAGGTGAGAAACGAGGTCTCTTGAGATGGGGAGCAACTTGCGTGGGGTACCCCCCGGGACAGAGGCAGAGCCTCAGCCCATCCCAGCTCGGCTGTGCCTCCATATAGGAGCTGCTGCTGCCTTTCCCCTCTTTGTGGTTTGCCACCTCCATTCCCCAGGCCTGGACAAGCCACCACTGAAAGATGGCACCACTGACCTAGGGGTCGGCCCATGTCCAAGAGGTCAGGCCGCCCACAGCACCCCGCTGCTCAGATGCACAGCTCCTTGCCTCCCCTCACTCGCTGCCCCACGAGAGCGCCCTTGCATGGTGTGGGGGGTGGGATTGAGGCTGCTGAGAGGCCAGGGAGATGGATGCCGGACGGTACGGAGCAGCTGCTCTGTTAAAAAACCTGCTTTCCAGCCGTTCCCTCCCCACCAGAAACTCCTGGTCTGGATCCGCCGCCAAGACAAGGGCAGCATTCCTTCCAGCTGAGGCCAGCAAGCAGCAAAGCCAAGCCACATGCTAGCCGTTCAAGAGAAAGCTTTCCGGCCCTCTGCCCCGTCTCGGGAGGGAACATGAGTCAGCCTGCTGGCTTCTGGGGAAGGCAACCCGACGGGCCAAGACAGCGAGAGAGCTCCATCGCATGGGGGAGAGCCTTCAGCCCGCGGCATCCTTGCAATCAGCCCTCACCGGAGAAGGCATGATGCCAAC